AGGCTTGAAAGAAACAGAGAAACCAATAATATTCTAGACAGTAAATGTCTGGAGGGGGTGGATATTGAGGAACTGGGCTTTGTAGCTTTTCTCTTAGAGAGGATATTGTAGAATTCCCACGAAAGCCACTTTGACTGTGACTTAGCTGCCAGTTGATACGTACACCTTGCATTTGATTGGTTTCTTCTAGCCTGCACTGCTAAATTAACTAGGAATTTAATCTTACCCTATTGACTGAACCAAGGTGATTGAACCGTTGCTTTAGAAACTCCCTCCCCTCCCAAAAAAATCTTGTTATGCATGACTGGCTTGTAAAGGATACCAGAATCCAAGAAGCTGAGCTTGGCTGAGTGTGGTAGATTTATGCATGCATTGTCTTGTGTGTGACCCTTATTTGTGAAATCATTACCTTGGCCAAGGATTAGTGTGTCCTTCCTTCGTCTAAAGCAGGGGTAGTCAACCTTGGCTCTTTGATGACTCGTGGACTTCAACTCCCAGAATTCCTGAGCCAGCACAGCTGGCTCAGGAATTCTGGGAGTTGAAGTCCACGAGTCATCAAAGAGCCAAGGTTGACTACCCCTGGTCTAAAGTCAAGACTCCTTTTTCAGTTGAGCTCAGCTGCTGGTGACTTCACAGCTGTTCCCATCTAGCTGTCTTGGCAGCAGCATGGAAATGATGTCACTGCCTTTTTCCAACGAGCCTTTTCCATTTTCCAGCCTAGACCAAAGCCCTGGGATTCTCTGGAGAATTCCCATTCAAATACTAACTCGATCTGAGCCCAGACAAAATTGACCAAGTGCTGCCAGCTGGCCAATCCCTAATCTATTACTCGCCAATGTTTTGGACCGTAGCTCCCATTTTCTTTGATCGTTGTCCTTAGTGACTATCTGGGACTCAGAGATCTTAAAAATTAGGTATTTTGGATGGAGAAATGGCATCTGTGATAGCTCTTGGAGTACAGGTAGTTCTCAACTTACAACCATTCAGACACTTGGCAATCACCGTGTAATTACGATGGTCTTGGTATCGTGTAATTGTCATTTGTGGCTTTCCCATCTGGCTTCCGACCAGCAAAGTCAGGGGGGGGGGAGCTGGATTTACTTAATGACCATGTGATTCACTTAACAACTACAGTGATTTGCTTAACAACTATTGCAAAAAAGGTCATAAAAAGTCAGCAACTGACTTGCTTAGCAATGGAAATTCTGGTCCCAATTTCAGTTCTAAGTCAAGGACTACCTGTAACAGAATAACAGAGTTGGAAGGGACCTTGGAGGTCTTCTAGCCCAACCCCCTGCTCAAGCAGGAAACCCTATACCATTTCAGACAGATGGTTGTGCAATCTCTTCTTAAAAACCTCCTGTGTTGGAGGGCCCACATGCAATGCAACCCTCTGGAAACTCTTAGATGGAAGAACTGTTAAGTCCGGAGAATAATGGCGCTTGAAGCAATGCATTTCCAACATGTCTTTATTCTCTGACTACAATCTACGAACAACCCGAGCAGAGGCACGCAGGCCTCTATTTATACCCTCTGATCCCCGGGCAATTCCAACCAATCACAAGGCGGTCTTTTCCCGCCTTACGCATGCGCGCAAGGCCGGCGCCGCTCAGTCTGGTCCCGGGCAGCTTTTGCAAATGCCCGGGACTCTTGCAACGTCCCGAGCCTGCTTCTGCAGGCTCAGGACACAACAAGAACAAATATATGTATATTCCCAGGGTAAATTAATTTTATCAGATAATCAACTGTCAAAATAGTTATGGAACTGAGCCTATAATTTTCCCTAGGCAGCTCCCCTCACTGACAACGGTTGGTGGGTTCAGATGAGCATTTCTGCGTCTTAGCGACTTGAAGATGGGTGAGCTTCACCTCCCAGAATTCCCCAGGCAGCATGGCTGGCTGGGGGATTGTGGCAGTTGAAATCCAATACTGTTTACAAGCAACCTTGCCTAAATTCATGTCCTTTGGATGTGTTGGGAATATACCTCCCAGAATTCCCTGGCCAATATGTCTTTGCTTGTGCTATTTAAGAATTATGGGAAGTGCAATCCTGAAACATCTGGAGGCCATTAGTTTGGAGAAGGTTGTTTGAGACACAGGAAAGGGGGCATAAGACCTTTCTATCCAATAAAGGCAAGATGGCTGCCTGATAGGTGAAACTGGGCTCTCATGCCCTAAGATTGAAAGTGAAAGTATGCTGGAGAGAGTAAGGATATGTAGCCATCAGGTGGGATCTTACCAACTCTTCAAGCCACTTGATCCAGAGTCTAAGGACTGCAATATAGGTAGTCCTCACCTTAGGACAGGGGTGTCAAACTTGCCGTGTCACGTGACGTGTCGCGACGTATCGTGACTTTTTTCCTCTTGCCGGAGCTGGGGTGGGTGCGGCTTCCGCATGACTCATCCAGCCCACGGATCGGCAGTTTGACACCCCTGCCTTAGGACCACAAGTGAGCCCAAAATTTCCATTGCTAAACAAGACAGTTGTTAAGTGAGTTTTGCCCCATTTAATGACCTTTCTTGCCATTGTTGTTAAGTGAATCACTGCATTTGTTAAGTTAGTAACCTGGTTGTTAAATGAATCTGGCTTCTCCATTGACTTTGCTTGTCAGAAGGTCTCAAAAGGGGATCACATGACCCTGGGATGCTGCAACCATCCTAAATACATGCCAGTTGCTAAGCCTCTGAATTTTGATCATGTGACCACGGGGATGCTGCAATGGTCATAAGTGTGTAAAACAGTCGTGTCACTTTTTTCGGTGCCACTGTGATTTCAAATGGTCACTAAACGCATGGTTGTAAACCGAGGACTACCTATATATCTCTTTACATCTGTCAGAAATTATTTTAAAGCAGATTCAAGCTGGACATTACAAACTTATCTTGAGGATTAAACCAGTTGGGTTTTCCTGACACCGAACCTGTTTAAAACTCCCATTTCATAGAAAATGGCATTTGTAGCCTAGTAAATGACAGCCACGGTGGGAAGGAGTCTTTCTTTACCAGCAGATGATAACCGCAGCCACACAGCTCCAGGTGACACAGCAGACCCGTTGTGTCTTGGTCTCCTCCTTATCTTCATTACTGCAGCAGCAAAAGCGGATCAGGTAGACGCAAATGAGAACTAGACTGATGGCAAAGCACAAACCCGAGACACTGGCCAGAAACAGAAGTGCCTAAAGAATGAACAGAGATTTTAAAAAATAAAAATAAGTAGCCAGAAGTTTTCAGCCCAGAGGTTAGGGTAAGAAAATACAGGTAGTCCTCGACTTACGACCACAATTGAGCCCAAACATTTCTGTCGCTAAGTTGAGACCTTTGTTAAGTGAATTTTGCCCTGTTTTACGACCTTTCTTGCCACAGTTGTTAACTGAATCAGTGTGGTGGTTAAGTTTGTTCAGTGAATCTGAATTCCCGTTTGACTTTGCTTGCCAGGTCACAAAAGGTGATCAGATATATTCTAGTTCTGATCTCTTAAATCCTTAATTTTATCACAAATCTTGTTTATTTCTTCTTCCACTACACACTATGTATCCTGATTAAAATCAAATATTAGTCTACCCTATACATATATAATCCATCCATCAATCAATCTCTTTAACCTAGCAAAGTAATATCAAACCTTAAATCATTTCAGGCTGTTAGGCAAAATTCAAATTTCATCCAAGTAATTATCATGCCTAAAAACACCCATATTATCACACAAAAACATCATCTTACTAATTTAACATGTTCAATTAATTATTGAGTCAATCCAGATCTAAAAGATTTTCTTCCTTCCATTACATAATAGTTTTCATACAAATAAACCTATTATTCTAAAAGTACATTCTTAGTCTATTTAAAATATATATTCTAGTAATCACCCATTTTTCTCTTACTTCTAACTCTAAATCTTAATCCTTAAATCAGTCCATAGTTCTACAGTGCCTTTTAATCCATCCCAAATAATTTTAAGTTTCTCTTTTCAGTCTTATTCTGGCCTTCTTTTTGTGCCAGGCAGGTTTCCATAACAAAGCTTCCCTTTCAGCCGATAGATCTCCTTCTGTTGCTTGTAATGTCATTTGAGTCAATAAACAGCATCCCTGTTAGGAAGTTTCTCTTTAATTCCATGTTGCTTCTCTCCTTGATTAGTTTCCATCCATTGTTTCTTGTCTTGTCTTCTGGTGCTTTGGAAAATAAGTTGACCCCCTCTTCTTTGTGGCAGCCCCTCAAATACTGGAATACTGCTATCAGGTCACTCCTAGTCCTTCTTTTCTCTAGACTGGCCATACCCAAATCCTGCAACCATTCTTCATATGTTTTTGTCTCCAGACCCTTAATCATCTTAGTTGCTCTTCTTTGCACTTTGTCCAAAGTCTCAACATCTTTTTGTAATGTGGTGACCAAAACTGGATGCAGTATTCCAGGTGTGGCCTTACTAAGGATTTATAAAGCAGTACTAATACTTCATGTGGTTTTGTAAAACTGTTGTAAAACCTAGTCATGTGACTATGGGACACTGCAAATGATCATCAATCCCGGCTGATTGCCAAGTGCTTGACATGCAGTCATGTGACTGGAGGAGGCAGCCATCAGAATTTCGGAACTGGATCATAAGTGCCCCCAAGGAGGTCCATCATAACATTGAATGGTCACTAAGCAGCTAATCATAAACTGAGGACTACCCATATACCATAACATAGGCCTTGTCTGTTTCTAGCATTCTAACTGACTCCAACCAGCGTGATTTCTGAATTGTGATCTGCAGCTTAGCATTCTGATCAATTGTGGTTTAAGTAAACCATGGATTAGTGCAATAGATGAATACAGGCAAAGAGACACTCAACTGCATTATGGGAAATATAAACAAATATAAAAGGTCTCACTGAGGCAACCTTTTAAATTGTCCACAATGCCGTTGAATGAGACTTTGTTGCAGACAACCTGGGCACTGTACAAATTTAATTGGCTAGGCAAGAACTGCGTCAAAGAGGGGGGTAGAGGGAGCAGATGGGCATTAGGATCTCCCTGCTGCCCACCGAGTAGTAGCCAGGACTCCCTGCAGCAGGGCTTAGTAGTGGGAGATTGAAAGATAATCTGACCATTGCTTACTGGAGCCACAATGAGGTATTAATTAAAGTTCTAAGAAGTCTGCGCAAATGAACTGTACCATAGCCAGGTGTAAAGAGAGCTGTGAAGAGGTGCCAGGTAAAAAGCTGTAGCTAGGATATTTTAAAGAACTGTAAAAAAAAAGACTTGTGGCACAGAAGAAGAAAAGGAGTTTTGTTTAGATGTCTCCGTTCTGTGTCTCCAAAAAGGTTAGAAAAAGACATCCCACGTTTTACGTGATCGGAAATCTCAATTTTTTTAAACTGAATTACCCAACACTGAGTTGAAAATGTTTACATAGCCTGCACATTTCATATCTACGTCAAATACAGGTAGTCTTCGACTTGTAACTATTCGTTTAGCGACTGTTCGAAGTTACACCAGCCCTGAAAAAAGTGACCTATGAGCAATCCTCACATTTACAACTCTCAGCAACCCTACCTTTGGGTGCTTGGCAACAAGTATGTATTTATGGCGGCTGCAACTTCTCAGGGTCATGCGATCACCATTTACGACCTTCCCAGCTGGCTTCCAACAATCAAAGTCAATGAAGGAAGCTGGATTTGCTTCATGACTGCATGATTCAGTTAACAAATGCAGAGGTTCGCTTAGCTATGGCAAAGCTCATAAAATTTCATATGACTCACCTAACAACCATAAAAAAAACAGGGGTGACTTACTTGACAACTGCCTTACTTAGCTAGGGAAATTCTGGCCCCAATTGGTGTTGTAAGTCAAGGACTATCTGTGTGCAATTTTGTGATATCCACGGTGTTTTTTAAGCAATGAGAAAGTGAGAAAAAACCCAAATCAAACAGGATTCTCTATGGAGATTCTCAGTCATGATTGCCCCAAAGGTGCTTTTTCAGGAGGCAACTGGACTTTCTTGTTTTTCTTTGAAGACATTTTGCTTCTCATCAGTAGCCCTTTCTCAACAGAGGGGGAGGGATACAACATCATCTATCTCCAGTCTACAACACAGTCTTTTCAGCAGTTCCAAGAAGGCTCTACACCAGGGGTCTTCAAACCTGGCCCTTTTATGACTTGTGGACTTCAACTCCCAGAATTCCTCAGCCAGTGTGCCTGGCTGAGGAATTCTGGGGGTTGAAGTCCACAAGTCATAAAAGGGCCAAGTTTGAAGACCCCTGCTCTACACCCATTTGCACCACTCAGGTGACCTTGAGGACATAGGTAAATCTCCAGGTGACCTTGTCAACTCTCTAAAAGAATGCAAATGACCAGCTGTCTGCAAGGAATATAAATCCTTCCATTGCCCCACCATCCAGTCAAAGATGAAGAAGCTTCTTGGATGAGAAGTGAAACATCTTCAAAGAAAAACAAGGAAGTTCAGTGGCCTCCTGAAAAAGCACCTTTGGGACAAACAGGATTCTGGTAATTGGGCTTGGATGCTATGATGGAACTCAATACTGTATCTGTCTGGAAGGCTGAAATTCAGGTTATGATTCTAAAACATAAGGTAATAAGAAGTAGAATTGAGAAAACAGCTCTTCCCTTATAATGTTACTACACAAATATAGTTGTTTTTTTCAATTCAATGTCCTCCAGTGATGTTAGATTATAATTACAGGTAGTCCTTGACTTACCACCACAATTGAGCCCAACATTTCTGTTGCTAAGTGAGACATTTGTTAAGTGAGTTTTGTCCCATTTTACGGCCTTTCTTGCCACAATTGTTAAGTGAATTATCGCAATTGTTAAGCTAGTAACACAGTTGTTAAAAGAATCTGGCCTCCCCATTGACTTTGCTTGTCAGAAGGTTGCAAAAGGTGATCACATGACCCCGGGACACTGCAACCGTCATAAATGTGAGTCAGTTGCCAAGCGTCTGAATTTTGATCATGTGACCACGGGAACGCTACAAAGGTGAAAAACAGTCATAAGTCATTTTTTCAGTGCCGTTGTAACTTTGAACAGTCACTAAATGAACTGTTCTAAGTCAAGGACTATCTGTACTGTAACACCTACTCATCATAGCTATTTTGAAAACCCTAATTTAGGGATTTTTGTTTTAAATACAAGGAAAACTATCTTAAATGTGAACTTTGACTCCTCTGCAGTCTGATCAGTCCAAACCCAGAAGGTTTTGGAGATGCATCCTTGCCAAGTACTCTTCCTGATGGGTCAGCCATGTCTGGTCCATATCTGCAGCTGGGACAGGAAAATGGCTTCCACCAACTGACTCTGTCGGTGGGACTAATGTTCCTTTTCTTAAAAGAGCATTACTAGAGAAAGTATGCCAAGGAATTGTCAGATTAGTAAGTGCTCAACTTATGACTACAACTGAGCCCAAAATTTCCATTGCTAAACAAGGCAGTGCTTAAGTGAGTTTTGCCCTATTATACAAGATTTTTTTGGCCCAGGTGTTAAGCAAATCACTCCAGTTGTTAAGTGAATCATGCAGTTGTTAAGCGAATCTGGCTTCCCCCCATTGACTTTGCTTGTCAAAACCAGCTGGGAAGGTTATAAATGGTGATCACATGACCCCTGACAATGCAACCATCGTAAATACATGCCAGTTGCCAAGCACTTGAATTTTGATCTTGTGACCCTAGGGATGCCACAAGGGTTGTAATGTGAAAAACAGTCATAAGTCACTTTTTTCAGGGCTGTTGTAACTTTGAACGGTCACTAAATTAACGGTTGCAAGTCGAGGACTAGCTGTGTATTTCACTTTTTTCATCTCTTCGTTGGAGTTGTATGTACAGGTTGTATGTACAGGTTAGTCCTCAAGTTACAACTGTAATGGAGCATGCCCATCAGTCATAACTTGTGATGGTGGTAAAGCGGGTCAGTCACATGATCAATCTGATTTTTACGACCTTTTTTGTGGTGTTATTAAGTAAAGGCCGTGGTGATTAAGCGTATCAATGGTTCACTATGACCGGGGTTTTGCCCAAAAAATAAGTAAATGTTGGTTTTTTCATAAAATGGGGTTATGTGACTGCAGGACGCTGCGAACGGCAGCAAATGTGGCCATGTTGCCAAGCACCTAAAATGTGGTCATGTGACTGGAGGGGGCGACTGTCAGAATGTTGAATCCAAGTCATAAATACCACCAGGAAGG